GAGAGAAAGGTCACCAGAGTGATGGCGCCGTTGAGGCTGTACGCCGAATTAGACGCACCGTCACTTTAATTTTTTCCAGTCCCGTGAAATATGGCCCCCAGACACGAACCCGATCGTATTTCTTGGCGAAAATAATAAGAGCGTGTTTATACGGCTCCTTCCACGATTAATCTCGCGGAGGATTTTCGGAATTCGCCACGGGAATCTGGCCATTTTTTCGACTTCAAAGCGACACACGTAAGGGACGAGCTCGCTTGAAAAAAATAACACGCCCTATAGGGCGACGTTTCGGGGAAGTTTTGCGAAATCTGGCACCAATGCGAGAAGTGAAACGATATTATAAATTAATTATTATATTTATTGTTATTAGGAATATGCCACCTATCGCGTTAACAATAGTTTTTGAGGTAGCATTCAATTTTGTCATACATATATATACACACAGGAAACATGTATACAATCGGAAAAGGAAATCCAACATTTTAAAAAACGTATTGTACTTTATACGATTAAATTTGGCCGCACTGACGGGAAGACAAACCATGTAACAGCTTTGAAGAAGTCCGGAGTAAAAATCGCTCAATTAAGTACAAAAAATTAATACTGAGCCTTTTTTTCGGTGCTAAGGACAAAATACTTAAACACCTCAATGAAACACTGAAAAGCTGTTACATTTTAAATAAAAAAAGGTGAAAGATCGTGACCGAAAAATATGCATATACAGGGTGGTTCATATACTGGAGATGCTAGACACTAAAATATCAGGAATGAGTTCGATATGACTCACATAAATGAAATGAAATTAAATAGCGATAAAACAATAACAATTTTGATTAAGAAAATTTTTAAAAGGTAGTAACGAGAGCACCAAAGTGCTTGAGTTTATTAAATAAACCGGTTTAATCAACCATACCGGAGATATTAATTTGACCCCTCTTAACTCCCGGATCATGGATTCTGGAAAAAAATTGTCTCACTGACGATGAATAATGCGAAATTTTAATTCCTGCGTCGGGAATTCAAAGTTTGTAAGTCCTTCGATGCGGATAATAAGACAATCCTCCATTTACAGAATTTTCAGTAAAGAAAAGCTCCATCCATGCCATCGTATTTCAATTTTTCCAAATAATGTTTTGCGAACGTTTGGTGTGGTGTAATTTGCATTTTCCGCCAATCTAACTGGAGCTTGTTATTCTTCAGCACCACTTACACGGGCTTCTAGAAGGCATGTAGGTTATGCACTTATCAATACGGGTTGAAGTTGGAAGTGAATTTGTTTAGCCGCCAAAAAGTCCGGAAATAAATCCCCCAGACTTCCCAAACTTGACGGATATTTAAAATAGTTTTGAAGTTTCGTTTATTAATTGTTGAAATTAAATCTTGTCTTTTATTGCTCTCTTTATTTATAGAAAAAAAAAAACAAAAAACAGTATATTTTCTATAAAAGATTTTGATTTTAATTTTTCTCAGTTAAATTTCCAAAGCCTTGTATCTCCTGTATGAGTAATCATACTATTTTGGTTTCTAGCACCTCCAGCTTAGGCACTCCCCATTCTTTATGAATCACCCTGTAAAATATTTATATTCTACAAAACGCCTTAAAGTCGATATAACATAATATTATACGCCTAACTTAGTGTTTTAGGAACAATTTTAATAATTTACCTAATTAAGTGCAAAATTAATATTACTAATTTTTTACAGATTGTACAGATCAGTTTGCGATGTGACCCCAATTACCGCGAATGAAGAAAAATATATGCCGATAAACATATTCGAAGTTGAGAAACAATAACTGTCGATTTTCCACGTGTATTGCAATAGTAAAAAAAAATTCGTGGCCTTAAAAATCGCTTACCCAAAATTACTGCTGGATTGATTAATTAAAACAAAAACGTTTAAAATTAAAAAAAAAACTAAACAACCCTTCGAGTTTTATATATATATATATATATATATATATATATATATATATATATATATATATATATATATATATATATATATATATATATATATATATATATACGGTGTCCACTCAAGTCGTAGGTTTTCAATTTTCTCTCTCAAATATATATTCAACTTTGGGATAATATTTATTTCGAATTTTATATCGTATCGTTATCGAAAAAGATACTTATGTAAAATTAAAAGTGCCCTGAAAGGAAAAAGGTACGCGTATGAGAGAGCTTGCAAAATACGCGTTCCTCAGCGTTATAACCTCAAAATAATCGATCAAGAAACAACCAGGAAACCGGTTTTTATTGTCTTGAGTGCGACATCTTATATATATATTTCCATATAGAAAAAAAATCTTGTCATGGTCATTATAGTATACAGTAGATGTTCGGAAGTTTTAACATTTAAGTATTAACTTAACAAAAAACTGAATCTTGTTGGACATACAGGGTGGTTTGAAAAAGTATCGCGTTTAAAATTAATTATGTCTCCAAAACTAACTAACAGTCGTAAAGATTTGCGAAACAAGAACGATTAACAATAACTCAATGAAAACACACACAGTTGTGCAGTTGTGGCCGACCTCTAATTTGACAATCACAAGTAACACTAAATGACTCAAAAATTGAGGTTTCTACATACCCTGGCGCTTCCCGTTTCAAAGACATCACAAGAAAAAATTTAGGGGTGTAATGTCCAGTGACCTAGGTAGCTAGGGTACTTCTTAGCCACGCCCACCTTTGCAGAAAAGTTTTATCCCAATCGTTGCATATTTTGTTGTTATTATGTGGAAAAATGCTCTCTGGTGGCAACTGTAAACAATAAATACACTCGAAGAAGAGTTTTTTGGTTGAAGTTGTTTTGAAGTTCAAAATAAATAAGAACCAAAAATTCAGATTTTCACGAAATTATATATTTTTACATGACAATTGTTTCGACAACACCGTGTCTTTATCAAATATATAATTTCGTGAAAATCTGAACTTTTAGTTCTTATTTATTTTGATAAATGGATTTTCATCAAGTAACAGCCACCTCAGTTCAATTCATGGTTTGAAGTTACTGATAAATATTTATATTTATAATTTATGAGCGCTACTATTTTCTAATGAGGAACAGCTAACATCTTTGGTTAATTTTTAGCGCGGTACTTTATGAAGCCACCCTGTATGTCGAACATACAAATTTTCTTGCACAAATTTATTTTGTCACCAAGCAGGACTGTTTGGGTCGTGACACTTTTACTAGTTTAGTGAACAATTAAAAATTGTCCCATCCGGTGAGAACTTTCGAAGACACACTGTAGAGTACGCTTCAAAAACATCCGTTGATTTCTTAACAGCTTAGTGAAACATATCATAGAGGATGAAATTTGCCATGTTGCCAATATTTTGTTTATCTCCCACCTAATTATCACAAAGTTACTTATTTATGCTTATAATTTCAATCTTGTTTTAGTAACATTATTGGAAAATTTTTAAAACTAAAAGGGTTTTAAAAAACGTTGGGATGCTGCAGTTTTCTCTCAAGACAACAGATTGAAAACAGAGGTTAAATTGAACGTGTGAAATAATTTTGCAAAACTGGATAAACAAGTTTAAAAAAGTTTCATTATATAAAGTTCAATGAGCTATTAAAAATCATCACGTGAGGGTTTCACGCTGACTGGTGGCACTTAAATTTTATTGCATCTAGGAAATTAACTAATATTTTTGAAACGCACCTTACACCCACAAAGTCCATTCTAATCCAGCTGTTTGGGTTCATTAATGCAACAAAAAACGTCGCAGCTAACAATGTGTATTTTTTTTTCAACTAGTAGAACAGAAAAATCTGCCCAACTGTCGAAACGGACAAGCAAATACATCGAGAATTCGATATATTAAAGCTCATTTTATGAGCTGAAGTTACTGTTAAAACGCCAAAAATCGTCAGAAAATTAAAATCATAATTAAACAACTTGAAAATCATTTTGTTGAGATCAGTATGTCAATTTCGATTAGTTTGTTGCAAAAAGCCGAAACTAAAAATAAAACAATAATAATGATAATTATTATGACCAGCGAGATTCTTAGATTTAGGACCACCTGATTTTCAAGGGCGGTATTGAACAAAACAAAAATTTTTACAAACCTGTATATTGTTATTAACAACAGAAAAAGCAATTACTCTAAAATGATTTTTTTTTATTTCTGTCATAGGGATCAATGTGTTTGCATGTACAGGGTTATTTTTTATATTTGCGTACCCACCTACAGGGGTTAACGGAAGTAGGCGAGAAAACCTTTCAACACAAAAGTTGTATCATTTTTGCAGTATTATCTTTTACACTTGTAAAAGATAGCAAGTGAGAATCGCAAAGATAACAAACGGTAGCAAGTTTTTTTATTTTTAAATGGAACGTCCTATATATTTTCTGTTATGACGAAAGATCTGTTTATCCTGATTTCAAAAATATATAGATTGTTAATATTTGGATAAGACCTTCTCTGTTATATACCTCGACATTTGTTGAGAATATTATAACACTTGAATTTTATCCACCAAGCCTTGAACTATAGGGATGACATGATGATATTTTAAAGTGGACTTGAATCTTGTAATATGACATTCCCAATTGTGCGGCAACAATTGAGGTTGAACTTTGGGCCCTTTCTAAAAATTCATATGAAAATAATTTTATTTTTAATTATTATTCATAAAAGTAAAGCTGCTTTCAAAAGAGAGCAAAATATTCATGTCTTCATCTACATTGCCAACAACGATTTTTTCAACTGTTTACTGAATGTTCCGATTTAAAGTAAAGCGACACAATACGTGACACAAAAATTTATATATAGAACACATAGAAGACATTCTAAACAATCTTCATTTAAGAATAAAAAACTTGCTACTGTTTTTCAACTTTGCGATGCGAGGTGGGTACGCAAATATAAAAAATAACCCTGTACCTTGGTTGAAAAGGATTTTAAATAATGTATTTTACGAAAAATATCAAAATCTACTCAAAATAGATTTTGGGAACAGCATAATTTTTTGTTGTACTGATAGTCCACATCAACTGATTCTCTGCCCTTAAAACAGGGTAGCTTTTTGACTTGCCGATAACTAGCCACTTCAACTTTTCTGAACCACTTATGTTGCTTGCAACCATAACTGTAATAATTCTCTGCGTGCTGTTTTTGGCATTAAACCATTTTCAATCTGTAACGCTAACGTTTTATAGGGTAAAAATCATAAAATGCTAGTTGCACCTGCATAAAAAATATAATGCCGTTTACCACACTGGTTGCACAGTATTATATTACATTACTTGTAAATTGTTATTGTACGACCAAAAATATAGTGCATTTATTCTTTTGACGTTTTTAGTGTTTTACAGTACCTTAACCGCAAAGCTTCGCAGAACAGTGATAAATCTTGCCTGAGATGGACCGTAACGAATATTTGTAGAAACTTGAAGTTTTTATTTGAAACGTAAATGGACCGTTTTAAATTTTAACAGCAGGTGACTGTAATCTAAATTGCGTATATACTGTGAGGCTGTTTTCACTGGATCCTTCAAAGGGTACTGAAAATAATATTTTTGACTTGTGTGCCTGTCGATTAACAACGTTCATCTTCTTGTATTTTTATGTCTTCTATACAGTGCTTCGATTTGTAAATAAACAACAACAAGGTACATTAAACGTTCCTGTTCCAAAACCACGCAGAATTTGAAGACGAAGTGGAGATGCAAGTCGAACCCAATGAAAATGTAGAACTCGGCAAATAAAAAACGGATCTATTTTTCTTCGGATGCTAGACAAATTGTTTTGAATGTTTACAATTTTATAAGACATTCAGAAGGGGAGGAGCAGCAACAAAAACAAGTGACATTCCGAAGTCAATTGTAAGAAAAATCAAGAGGAAAGTGAGAGAAGTACCTCGTCAGGGGCCAATGGAATCTCAAAGAATTTCGCAACGGAGGGTGAATTATTTAAATGCAATTGAAAAATTTTTATGTACCTAATTCTCGAGTTTTGCCCCTGCGAGTGCAAAATCGGCCACGGACGATTTTGACTGAACTTTATTATTATTAATTTAATATTTTGTATATTAATAGTGATACTATGTAGAAATATAATGAAATAGAACGTAATAATTGTTTCTTTGTACCAGTTTTTTTATGTAAATGTTTCAAGAATTGCTAGGCGAGAAAGATACTTATATCCCGCTTGTTAGTATAGATAGATAAATTCCTAGGACGGTCCTGGAATAGCCACGGGTAAGGGACTGCTCGGCAGGTTGTTCTATAAGGGGCAGCACAGGGCCGGTTGTAAAAACACAATATCTCTGGTCATGGTATATTGGTGTCGCGATTCCCCCCTCCCCTACAAATTTTGCTTACCCGTTTCTAAATTTGGGCAGTTCGAAATCAATGTGCGTTTTTACCAGACTAGATTAAGAGCCAGCACCATGTTATTTATAACGAAACTGTTTTTGGAGATTCTCTGGCCCGGCTTTCAAGGCCGGACTTTCATCACACACGATTTGATTTTCGATGGGATTGTCCGAATGTTTCATTCTATCGTTTCACGAACAATCCAAAGACGACGGGCTGCCCGGTGGTAAGATGAACGGTGGACTGTGAGCCTGCATCGATATGCTGCTGCCTATCGAACCGGGTCCGCCATGGGAATACATGTCGATGTCGCTCATGGCATCCGAACCGGAACATTTCTCCCCCGTTTTGCCTTCCTGCTTCAGCATCATTCGCCGCCACTTTGCCCGCGCGTTTTGGAACCACACCTGCAACAACAACGGCCGTCAGAGGACATGTTGACCTTTTTTGCGGAAAAAAAATTCCAATTAATCAAGAAAAACATATTTTTCTACTCCCGTCTGTAAAATGCCTAATTACGCAAATATCTTAGCATGCGGGAAGCGTCACTTTACCACGTCAGTTTCGTTTCCCACGGATCCGAGCCATTTCGGACATTTCCGGGGTTTTACCGCACGGGTTTGGGAGCAATCGGATGTTTTCGGAGATATTTCCCAATCTTGGACGTTTGTCGATTCTGACGGTCATGTATTCGTGTTATTTTGCAAAAATGTACTCAAAAACAACACAACAACAAAAACATGTCAAAATCTGATATTTTGTCATTTAAAATATCCCAAATGAACGACACGCCGTGGGTATATGGAAAAATAACAAAATCCAGACGAAACTATGCACCCCATACAAATTTCATATGTTTAACGAATTATGATTGATTCTGTGAGTTTTGACAGACATTGATTGTACGCCATTAATTTCTCTTAAATTAAACATTACTCGAATCAATTTTAAAGAAATTAATTTCTTTGCTGAAAAAAAAACCCGTTCTCTGCATGATCATAACAATATCGTTAATATGACAGCGTGCAGAGAAATTAGTTTTTAATTTTAAGTGAAATCCGTGCGAATGAATGAAAGTCTCACACAAAAACTAGTAAAAGAATATGACAAAAAAGAAAACAATCAACAAGTTAAAGCTTGAGCATTTAGACCTCAATTGTACCGTGTGTTCAATTTATCTTGATAACATGTTAATTAGCTGTAACTTTTTTGTTTTTGGAGATATCAAGATAAACAAAAAAAAAAGGAAAATGTAGGGTTAGTAGTCAAGTTTTTCCAAGTGACGTATCAATCAAAACACTATCAATTTTCATTAGATATGTGTTTAATGGAATATCTTTTAAATCCGTTTAAAATGATTTAACACACTTTATACTTTAGTCCACTAGTTTTTGAAAAATTGGCAAAAATATGAAATTTTATGTAAGACACGCTAAAGTAAAAAATTCTTTAACTACCAATTGTAAATACTGCTGTATGTGACCACCATTTTCCTGAGCACAGTTTTGTGCACGTGACTTTTAATGTGTCCCCCAATAAAAAATCCAGTAAGGTTAAGTCGGAGTTGTTGGCTGGCCGTTTCATATCCAAAATTTTTAACTTGCACAACATTGTGACGAGGGCCACCGTCTTGCTGTCATATAATCAGCGCTGATATAATTAGATATAAATCTTCTATATATTGTTCTACTTGGTGTTCTAAGACTTGCAAATAAAGATCTTCTGTTAACTTTTGATCAATAAATGTCCATCCCAAAATATATCCATCTATGACACCACACCATACATTATCTGATTGGTACCCCTGGGTTTTTATTTCGTGTATTTCTTTGGGATTATTTAAGGACCTGTATCCCGTATTTTGTCTATTACAACCTTTCTTGTGGTGAATTATTATTATGTATATTTAAAAAATCGTTTTTTTTTAAAAACAGTTTACGAGACCAAAAAAATTCTTGAACCAGAAGATGCAACAGATACGGCTCCATAAACTTTTATTCTTGACAATTTTTCAAAAATATAAAGGGAGCGCCGAACTGAAAAATTGGTCCCCCTATTACTGAAAATTGATTATGACTGAAAAACTATGATTCAGGTCCCACTTTCTTTTATATTGCGATATAGCCCGCCTAGACAGCAAAAACTTTTGTATTTAAGGTTTTCACTTATTGTACAGGGTGTTCCCGATATTCAGTGCTAAATGAGAAATGTGTTAAGTGACCTAAATTTGCAGATATCAACTTCAAATTTAGCACATACGTAAAAGTCCGTGTTCACCCGATCCAGTGCAATAACATTTATCTAAGGCATTTTTTCAATTATATACAGGGTTTTTAAATTATAGGCAAAAATCTAAAATACCTAGAAAATTGTTTTTTTACAGAGTAAATTATTAGCCGCCAATCAAAAATCGTAAAAAATATGGTTAATTGGTTCAAACGGTGTCACAGGCCGCATCAAGAGCTACAATTTTTGTATTTGCGGTTTTCGTCTATCACATACGCTCCTAGGGATATTTGATTATTACGGCGCACAGCATGGTTTCGGAAAATACTTATTTTCTCCATTTACTATTTTCAAAAAATTAACAAATAAAAGATGGCCGAGGATTGAACATTGTGGAACACCACATATGATACAGCATCCTTAAAGTCAACATATTAGAGTCCGTTACTGGGATATTTGCGCAAAGACCCACTGAAAAACCAATAAAATGTAAAATTGCAAGTAACAACTCTCAGTTTAATCTATCTTAAACTTTAGAATAATCAAAGGGTAGTAGGATAATTATATCATCGTTGTCATCTTTTATATTAGATTTTTGTATATATCTAATCTGATAGATCATGATATTGTCAATGACTTTCAATAATATTGAACTTTTTAGGGATTGCAATTCCACTTCTTCGAAAACACTTCATCTCATAGACAGCACTTGACAATTTTAGAAAGAAAGGGCAGAATTCTAGAGCAACTCAAAAGGCAAAAGGTTTGCTGGGTTGAATAATCTGAACGGATTATTTGATTTCAATCAAAATGGATGAAACGTTTTTGTAAATGTTTTTTAAAGAGTTTCCGACACATAAGACCGTACAGGATATAGCGCCCCACTGATTTAGAAGCTCCGGAAAACAACTTGCCCACTCCGGTAACTTATTAGGACGCCATCGCTTCCGTTTTCTTTCAATCTTCCATTCCCCTCTCAAAAAAAAGAGGGCTCCCGCACACGCCCCCCTCTGCAACATTGTCTGTAAGCGGATGCCTGCCCGGAAAGGAAATAAATCACCCTGACTTTCCCCCGCTGGAAGCTACCGAACAGCTCCAATTACTCCTTAGCGTCGGTCCACGCCGACGTCGGAGCGTCGTCGGGTATGCAGAGGGATTTATAGGGGCTTTACGTCGGCTTATTTTGAGTGGCTCCGGCGGGTGGAGGTTTTGCGATTGATTTTATTTCTCGGAAGGGCTTGAGATCGTGACGCCCCGCCACTGGCCCGGAGGAAATGTTCCCCGCCTTATTTTCGAACCTCCGGATGCTTCCGATTTTTTCCGTTTTTTATTTATAAATAAGGCCATGATTTTCAAATATAGCACAGTATAATATTTAGGTCATACTGCAACACTAGCTTCAACATCAACGCGTTCTTTGTTTTAAATCTATATGATGAATAGTTCGAAGTCTTAAAAACATAAATATTCAATAGAAAAAGTGTTTCGTTTATGGGCAAAAAATAAATATCCTAAAAATTTCAGTTTTGGGGGTTAATTATTGGCGATAAATGAAAACTTGTTAAAGATGGGATAATTTTTTTATTTGAACAGTATCGTAAAGTATGTCGAGAAAGAGTTTCAGGTTCCGTGAATTATACAGGGCGCGAGATATTTGAAAAAATATCATTCGATAACGCTATTATTGGTGCTAGTTTTAATATCTACCGATGTTTGCTGTAATTAAATTTCATCGATCCGCAGGAGCACGATAGAAAACCAATGCGTCCTTTTACCACACGAAATCGCGACGATTTTTCGAAAGCATTATGCAACAAGCATTTAAACGGACTTGACAAACAAATATCCCGGAAATGTCCGAATGGGCTCGGATCCTTGGAAAACGAAACTGTCGTCATAAAATGACAATGAGTGAGTGAGTAAAGCGTCATTTTATCACGCCAGGTTTGTTTCCCACGGAACCGAGCCACTTCGGACATTTCCGGGAGCAATCGGATGTTTTCGGAGATATTACCGCGTGGCGTGAATTATTAAGGATGACCTTTGCATAGAGGTACATTGTGAAGTAAGTAAGGCACCTTCGGCATTTCTAAAATTAAGTTAACGTAATTGAAACTTATTATTACCTATCTAGTTTCAGTCCTACAGTGTAATATACTACACATTTCTACAAATATTTTTAATACTAACAACTTCTTTATGCAAGTTAACTGCATATTAAATCAATTTTACCTCGGTCCGTTACACCTTCTGCGTGAATAATACTTAAAGTTCTGTTCTGGTTCTGCATTTACTACCCACAATTAACTGAAGTCTTGCTTAAAAAAGTATTAAAATATTAACTTAAAAATAATGAAATATATCATTTTAACTAAGTTTGAAATTCGATTTCCCTAGAAAAGATAGAAGTTGTTACCGTTTTTGTGTATGTCAAGCAACCTTGAGGATGATGGTTATTGTAAGCTGGCCGAGTGACCTATTGCAGTGTGGCCATTAGAAGTAAAATCCAATCCATAGGGTAATGCAGAACAGGAACATAACCCCTTAACAAATAGTTTGTCACGACGACTTTATGTATTATTCATGCAGAAGGTGTAACGGAACGAGGCAAAATTGATTAAATATTTTATAGTTGCTCACAAAAGAGGCATTTTGCATGTTTAGTGCAGAAACGACGTATTTTATAACATTACTCAATTTATAGGATTAAACGTTAATAAATATATGTATATTCCAGTTATCGCAAAAAGATATCTCAGAAGCACATAAACAAAATATCAAGCATCAGGAAAAGTTGAAGAGAACTGTGTGTTCATCTTAAGGAAGGGACCACATAATCATGACCACTTGAAGGACCAAATACGAGACAAAAGAATATATGCAATAGACTTGCGACAAGGTAATGAAGTAATTAGTAATCAAAATATTTCTAGAAATGTGTAGTACATTACACTGTACGACTGAAACTAATAAGTATTAATAAATTTCAATTATGTTAACCTAATTTTAGAAATGCCGAAGGTGCCTCACTTCCTTCAACTCAGTATGTACCTCTAGGCAGAGGCGGAGGCAATCGAATGTACCTGTAGAACTGAAAGACTTGACTAGAGTTCTGGAAGCAAGCGAGTGATATTAGTTTGGTTATACAATTTGGCACAAAAGCTTGGCATGAGCCAATTGT